GGATTTTGGACAGAGTATTCTGAATCTTCAGAGGATGAGGAAGGCTATGTCAGGTAGCTTTTGAAAGGGAACATGTAGCAGTTTAGATCGGATCCAGTGAATATGGGGCTTTTAATAGGGAAATCCCTCTACTGATATGGAGGACGAGGGAAATAGATAGCTATCCTCTGTTTTTAGACGAGTGAACTGAGCTTTGATTTTTCTGAGGTAATACAGGTGTTCAAGGTCTGTGTAAGGTAGGAATACATCAAATCCCTGTAGGGTGGTGTCCTGCAGGTTACAGTTTGAATCTGAGCCATATTAGCAGGAGTTAACCAGCTCCACCTTGAGACTTGACCAGACAAGTTGCTGGATTGGAATTGTGTAGGTAGTGTTGTGCCTCTGGAGATTAAGAGAGAGGGGAGTTTTGTTTATGTGTGCTTTATGCCTCTACGAGGGCCGCGCCTCAGAGATAAGTCCTTCTGTCACACAAAGAAAAGAAGCAACAACTGTCTTGGGGGTGGTTGAGATAAAGACTGAGCAAATATCAGGGCTGATACAATGTAGTTCGTTTTCAGACATTTCCCTAATTCTTTCCTTTCTTTCCATCAGAACAATAAGTCCCTTCTGATCACCGCATTTATCATTGCATTTGTCTGCTGGTCATGCTCCTTCAGCTGGACTTCATAGCTTAGCCGTGCACAGAAGAAAGCTTGTATGATCCATATGGCTGTCTTCCTGTCCTAGGGCAAAACAGTTACTTGTTAGTTCAAATCTGTTTATGATAAATGTCTGCCGTTTGTTTTCACAAGACTCTGAATGCACCCTAGTGAATGCAATCCACTGCACCATCAGTCAGTTTTTGCCTTCTTGCTTGTGTCATCTCTTCAGGTAATCGTTTTTCTTATTCTTTTCTACTAACCACCGAGGAGGCTGGAAGGCACGAAAGCTTAAGCTTTTTAGTCATTCTGACCTCTCTGGAAAGTTACCTGCCTGATACAAGGCAGCAGTGTGCACAGATATGGTTTTTCATGTGTATAAAAGTATTAGGAAACAAACAAACAAAAAAAAAACAACAAAAAAACCCAACCCAAACCAGAAACTTGCTCTCTGTACCCAGAAAGAGTGACTAACTAAGGAGAACAGCATGACGGTGTAATCCTGTAATCCTCTCCAGATTTCGACTGGGAGCCATTTTGTCCTAAATATTAGCACCGTCATAAAAATAACGCAGAGTAATCAGTCTTGTCTTCCCCTAGTCCCTAATCTTTGCTCCAGGCTATTAGCAAATGAACAAAATTTTCCCAAGCTTTTGCATGAGACTTATTGTGCCATTACTTTAAAAAAATAAGGCTAATTTCTGCCTCACTTTCTTATCGTTCCCCTATCTTCACCCCTTTGTTACAACCAGTGAGTCATATTTCACCTTTTCCTTAGTCTGCATTCACTCCTCTACTGCTTTTCCTGCCACCCTTCACTCCTGGAATGAATTATCTGCTCCTTTACATGAAAAAATCATGTTTCCAATGCCATATTTTAAATTCACGTCTTGTATGGGGTTTCATCCCGTTGTCTCAGAAGTGAAGATGGCCTTAATTTCCTAATTACATGAGTACCTCTGATAAAAAATGGCGATATTCTCCCTTTTTCTAACAATTTGGTAACACATTTGCCATTGGTTAAGGTATGTTCTCACTGATTAACCGATTCAGTACAAATGCTGCATTTTATGGAAAAAGAATTTTTAATAGCTATGCACAAAATATAAGTGTTTAATTCCTGGGGTCAAGTATTCAGTTTGAATTTGTCTCTTGTCTTGTAAGTCAGACATAGGTTTTCATCCTGGCAGTGAGCTTCAAAGTAGAGTTTGTCTGGGATGTTCCTCATCTTTCAGACTAAAAATCAGGGATCTCAAGATTATTTCTGAAATTCTGTCTTCCAGATGAATGGATATATTAATTTCATTTTAAATTCATGCTGTAGAGAAATCATGTTTACTTTGGATGCTGTTAAAGTGAGTGTAGCAGTATATTAAGTGTCTGCTCACGTGTGATCCTAATACAACAAGTGATTTGAGTCTGGGGCAAGAGGATCTGCTGCTGAGTTTTATTTTTTTCATTACACCAATAATCATGAACGTGTTCCTAGTATGAATGGGCACATTAGTGCTATGAGCATCAAGTTACATACTTCTTCCTTTACTTCTATATATCAAGCTTGGTCATCTGATGACCATTCCCCCATCATTTGACCTAGGATGTTGTGCTGCATACACTAGAAGCTGGAGTGGGAGCTTCAGCCCCTAACACTGCGTATAATGCATCCTCATCTAGAAGTAGTACTCTGTGCAACTTGGAGTTTAATTTCAGTGAGTTCATTGTCTGGGAGCTGATGATTAGAAATATAGAGATATAGATTATAATCAGAGGATGATTATAAAGTTTATTATATATTTTTATTATACTATTATTGTTACTGTTTGACTCTATTATTAGACTACAGTATTTTTTTTGTTGTTATTATTAGATCTGTCTCCTGCGCTAGCCAGGAGACACCATGGTTGTCACCATGAAGGGCTGGAAATGTGCAGGCTGGAAGCTGGGAAGTTGAGATTTCCATGTCTGAGAGCAACCACCTCTTTGCTTGGCTTAAAGGAATGAGGGAAATGCACTTTCAGTGGCTTGATATATTCGGCACCAACTGAGTTAATTCTATTTGGGCAATTAATGTGTCCCAGGGGACTTAATGTGAGCATGGTGCCAGCTAGTCTGAGGCCTACTTGTGTTCAGTAATTTCTCACTAAAGACAGGAGAAATTCCAGCGATCAGTTAACAGACTGCTGAACTGATTGGATCTAAGACACTAGCTCAGTTGGCCCTTGCTTGCTCCAAGATATGAAGGCCTGATTTTTCACAATTAGAAGTCACTGAATGTTTTGCTAGTATAAACAAAACTGTTTGATTTTTTTTTTTTTTTTTCTGTTCTCTTTAGTCTGGTTTTCAGAAAAGTCTAGAGCACATTAGCTTTGGTTTTCCAAACAAAACAACAGCAAAGAAGTTTCAGTCCAATCAGTTAAAACTTAACAGAACTGTAAGTGACTGCAAAGTCCTAACATGGCAAGCAACGTTGGTTGCTCTGCTTCTGTGCTGTCATAGCCATAGCATAACAGTCTTTGTTTTGTTGAGTTCAAGATGATTGTGTGATACCAATCCACAGGGATCTCACTGAGTGTTTTAGAGAGAAAATGAAGCTAGGGATAAAGTTACTTAAGACAGTTTTGTGTTAGGCCTGTCACACACTTGTCTAAGCTGGGAGCAATGCTCATACCATAAATTGGGATATGTATCCTTCCAGCCCATGCTTCACAACAACACTTGTTTTCTTCTTGTTTGTCATTGCTCAAGATAAAGGCAGTGTTCCATGGCTGTGAAAGACATCCCAACATTGCCAGGCTATGGAGGAGTTGTACATAAAGTTGCTTTGCTTTGCCAGGTGAAGATTTTATGTAACCCTTATAGTTACAGATACAGAGAAAATATGGGGCCTTCATCTGTGCTCAGTCCTACCATTCTCTCGTCCTCAAAACCAGCACTTGCATTTAAAAAAATGAAAACTTGTAGCTTGTGCTTGAGCATCTACTAATCTCTAAAGGCTTCGGAAAGTTGTATCTTCTGTAGAATATAGAAAAAGTTAGTTCATAATGAACAAGGAAACCATAATTAATATAATTAATTATTAATAAGACCATAATTAATGGTCTTTTGTGTGCCTAAATCTCCCTACTAAGAAAATGTAAGATTTCCTACAGAGATTTATAGGAGCTCATTTCATTTAAAATAAGTTTTTAGAGATATAATGACTACTGTTGGATGTTTTTGGGATGCGTATAGCAAATTACGTAGCGTTCTCCAAAAGCATTTGGGGTTGGCTTGTTGTGAACAATGGTACTTCTCTGAAGAAGGTAGTTTTGGCATCAACTCTTGAAATGAACTGAATCACAGAATCACAGAATGGTTGAAGTTGGAAAGGCCTCCGGAGGTCTTCTGGTCCTCTGCTGAAGTAAGTTGTTCTGGAATTCTGCTGCTTACTACACTCCTGAGTTTTATTTAGAAATAAGGAAAGATGTGTGCTACCCTCAAAGCTATTTCTTGTTGCTGTTTGAAAAGTTTCCATGTTTAACTGTTTTTTCTGGCGGGCAGTTAAGCCCACCTTGTCGACGGCACCCTCCTTCCTCCATGACTCAAGCTATTGTTGTGACTCATCTCAGGTGCACAACCTTGTGAAGTGCATTTTTGTCTGTCTAAATGTCTGACATCCCCTGGATTTTGCCTTATCTGCTACGATGGTGATACCTTCTTGAAATGCCAACAAGTTGGTTAAGCAATGGTTCCCAGCTCTGATTCCATAGATTACTTGAATCAAATTGTTTGTTTAGCAGGTTTTTTAATTACCTCCTTAAAATAGTCCCTCTGGACTTTTTCCATACCCAATATTGAATTTACTCATGTTGGTTTTTTTTCAAAATGTAATAAAATTAACATTTCATTGTCTTGAACCATCAGAACTCTTTTGAAGTCAGAAAAAATGTTGCGCTTGCTTTACCAGTTTCAACATTTGTGATTATTACTTGTGAAGTATGTTTCTTTATTTATTTTGAAGTAGATATTTTTGTATTTATACACATATATACGTTTGCATCATTGCTTTGTCTGCACTGAAAAATTCACCTCAACGTAGGCAAAAATGTGACTTTCTTTATAGATACAAAAAGCAAATATTGTTTAGCAGTTAGATTCTCTCATCCTGAATGGAAGGACCTTGTTGTAAATTTCAGTAAGACTTCTCTTTTATATGTTACCTCCTGCAGATATATACGGGAAAACCTTTGATGATATTGGTTTTGTTTACTGGTACTAGTACTAGTATTCATTATTTGGTAGGATTTCTTCAGATGTTGTAGAGGATAAGTTTGTTCATTTTGTTATGAACAAGAATAAATGAGTAACAGGAATGTTTTACAGGTTATGCCTCCTTGTCCAGGATGCCTATGGCATGTTCAGTGAAGTGCAGCTACAGTGTCTGGATTCTGCAAAAGACCTTGAGCAGTACTGCAAGAGATGGGAGGGAAAATTCTGCTGTTTAGCTGGAATGAAAATTTTGCAAAGAACGACAAGAGGAAGGTGAGAACAGTTTGAGAAGAGTGTGTTGAGTGCTGTGGCAGGCAGTGGTGATCTTCCATTTAATTATTTATGTGGTCAGTATCCTTTGGAACAACTGAATCAGGTTCTGTTCAATTAAATATCCTCATTGCCATTTTTAGGGCATCAAGTAGGCATCAGCTGGATCCAATTGCACTTGAGCCAATCGTATTCCTAAATCAGTGTAAATAAGCTGACACACAAAAACAGACTTAGCAGAGAACGGAATTTAGAAGAATTACCTTATGCAGTGGTTCATAAAATAGGAATTTTCTTCCTCTTCAGTAGATTCAAAGACTTAAAAATGTTAGTTCATCTCTCTTCTTTGCAAAGCTGTTTATTACAATATGTTGGGTTTTTTTTTTTCTTCTGTTCTTCTGTTCTTTTTAGTCTGAGTTGAAGTTTCAAGAAAAGATTTTTCCTTGGTATTTGTGAGCTTAATTCAGTAAGGCCTATACATTTTTGAAAGCACAGTTAAAGTGTCTCTAAAGAAAAATAAAAAAAAAAAAAAAAAAAAAAAACCAAAGCAAACAAACCTAACACTGAAAAACCCTCTTGAATGATAAAAGCATTGCTGTTTTGGAATAAGAGCACCCACAGACTTTCAGAAAAATCCCCACAACTAATTAATAAATAGATGTTATGGTACCTCCTTCATTTTGCTAATTCTTTGATTTCTTCTACTTTCTTAAAATAAAATGTATTAAATATGTTAGATGAAAAAACAACTCCACTTTAAGTAGATCTTACAGAGTTATCTTTTAGAGTATCTTTCCATGGGAATCGATATAGTATCCACATGGGGAGCTATATAAATATTACTAGATTGGTTTAATTCTCAACATGATTTATTCTGGTAAAAACATCCTATCTCGATAAGCCTTTGCTATTAGAATGGCTATAATATTTCATCTGACACTTTTTTCCTGTCAAAAAAATGCTGTTTCATCAAAACCAGAAAGTTTCACAGAAACTTTATCTATTTTGGAGACAATTTTACTGGGAAGATTTTTTCAGGTCCAGAGGGAGTGAATACTCTCTCTCTTTTTCATTTCATGAAAACTTTCAGAAAGTCTCATTTTTGTTTCATACTGGAACAAAAACAAATTTCAAAGCCTTGAAATGTTTAGCAAAATGGAATTGTTGTTTCCCAGCCAGCCCTATTCAGTATGCTTCTCTTTTTATGTACTTGCAGTGTTAATTTTCAGATCCTTTGGATTTCAAGCCTACTTGCATTTTTATGGATCTTTAATAACAAACACGTCTTCTTATTTAATTATTTTGTTGGCTTTTTTTTTTTTTTTTTCAAGTTACATTTTTTCCAAACAAATTAAATAATGGCTTTGGAATTCTGGATACAAATGAAGTTTTACAACTGGCTGCTGGTGTTTCCAGTACTCAGCCTAGCTAATAAGAGACAGACTTTTTCTAATGTAAATTCTCTTTCAAAGCAGCAGTAACTTACTTCTGGCTATTCTGAGGATGATTAGAAAACACACTGCTGAAAATGCTGGTGGCTCAGCTGGAGCTGTGCTGGTGGTAACCGTGCTAGAAAACATGAAAAGAAAATGGCCAGTGTAGCTTCAGGGACAGAGCGGTGGTTAAACGTGATTTCAGTGCGCAAGTTGGGTGGGTGGGGGGATTGCTGTCCTTTCTTTCCTAATTGTTTTAGCTTAAGTTCTGTTTTATAACTTGCTATTACTTTTAAGTGTCAGGACATGTTTTGTGTCAATCTAGGTGTGATGGAAACCACAGTCAAGCCGTAGCTGAAATGAATATAAGGGAGCACTTATTCATGCAGAGTATAATTGGGCTGTAGAACTCATTGCCGCTGCATAAATGCGTTTCAAGAGCCAGTGGTATATCTGAGCACATGATGGGATATGCCTGTAAAGTTCCCAACCTTGGCTTGTAGAACATGAGTGAAGAACAACTCTGTGGTCTGCCCTGCAAGAAACACATTTGTTATTTTTTTTCCCCCTTCCGGAACACCAATTATTGTTTGGAAGGAGATGGCTTTTAAACTGTTTGTTTCCTGGAGTTTGACAGTGACTTTTAAAATAGATAAAAGGGAATAAAATGTAGGAAATATGAGGGAAATACAAGTCGTCTTTTTTTCTGCCTTTGTAGCACATGATCTGGAGAAGATCAAGAATGGCTAATAAGATCCCACATGTGCCTGTTGTCACGTGTACTGTAATGTCTCTTTTGGAGACAAGGAGCTTCCTCAGTCATTCTGTTAGACAGAAGAGATTTTCATTTATCAGATTCTAGAAGTTCTCAAAGTTTTTTAACAATAGAATACTGTTACTGTTGAAATATGTTCCAGGCCATCATTCGTCCTCATCATCAAGTATTTAATTCAAAGTACTATATAACATAATTCCAGTAAATACAATTTCAAAATCACTATTGTGAACTGAATTTGCATTTTAGTGACAAAAAATCTATAATAAAGGATAGTTTGCATCTAGGCAATAACCTGGCTGTAAACCTGACTTGATTTTTGAAATGGACTTGTACTGTGAGGTGGACCGGAGGAACCAAACCCTTTTCTTCTCCCAATAGGAAAACCTTTGTGTTCCAAAACAAAAGTGGGATAAGAACTACAGCCAAATGTTTATTGATCTGCCACTGGTGATTTTTGAGCCTTTCTATCTCTTGCCCTCTTACTGCTTCATATGTCAACCTTATAAATTTAGCCCCTTGAGAAAGAGGAGGTGAGATTTCTATGGTGTACTGCTAGAAATGGAAATACTGGCTAAAAATGCATGCATTTCAACTAATATGTAACATTCCTATTTTGACCATTTGTTTCAGCATGTCCAGTATAACCAGTAACTAAATGGATGCAATTAGATACAGGGACTGAGCACTCACTAAAATGTCTCAGGAGTAAATAAACTATAAATTGGCATAGTCTGCTGCTTCCTACTATAAACTGATCTCAATGAACTAGGATGAACTTTGTAGTTATACATTTATCTTTAGTAGCAAAAAAATATTACCTTTATGTTATTATCCCTGACCAGAGTTCCACACGGAATATTTTGTGTTTTGATAATCTGTGAACTTTCACCTGATTTGCCAAGCACTGACTTGTTTTACTACTGAGTATAGCAGACATACTATATTCTTCTCCTAATACTTATTTACAAGGTTGAAAGATGAGGAGTTTATATCCAGCAGGACAGAAAAATTACACCAATTCAGAAATGAAAGAGGGAAAATGCTTTACTGTAAAATATAATTAATGCAGGGTGTCAGTGCCAATTTTGTCCCTAGATAAAAAAATATTGAAAAAGTTAAAAAAAAAAAAAAAAAAAAAAGAAGGAAAAAAAAGATGAGAATATTGCATGGATATTGCTAAAATCTACATATACAAGGACTGCTTTAAAAGTAATGCCTCCTGCTGTTTTATTATAGCAGACCATGATATCAGAGGTGGACATTGGTGGTATGACAGTAGAGGTTCAACCTTCCCACCAATATTTCATTACATTTTTGTTGCCATGTGGCAGATGGCAGAATAGGGGCAGTCTGATGTAATGGTGTCTGATGTGGGAGGGCGTATGAAGCAAAGGTATGGAACTTAATTCCTCTGTGAGGGAAAAATGGCACCCACTGACATTCATTGAAGCTTGCTGAATGTTTATGGGGACCAACCAGTGGAAGTGAGCGCAGTGAGTGGAGGATGGTGCGTTTCAGCAGTGGCAGCAGTGACAGTTTGTCACTTCTGCTGGTGCAGATCTTTATGAGTGCAGCATGCAATAGGTTGGTTGGGGCTTTGGGCAGCCTGGTCTAAGGGGAGGTGTCCCTGCCCACGTTTGGAGATTGGAGCTAGGTGACCTTTAAGGTACCTTCCACACCAACCCACTCTATGATTCTATGATTAATCCCAATCTGTGGTACTGGTCACCATTTTCTTTTTTTTCCCCTCTTTTTTTTCTTTTTTATTTCAGTCTCATAATTCTCTGGTCTGTACAAATCATTTTTTTCCTCTGCTCTTTTTTTTTTTCTTCTTTTTTTTTTTTTTTTTTTTTTTTTTTTCCTGAGCTGGCTGGGTAGATGGAGGGAGAGTAGTGTCTGTTGTGTATGTACCTTGGCTTCAGCAAGGTGTTTGGCACAATCTCCCACAACATACTTGTTATGAAACTTAGAAAGTGTGGGATAGATGAAAGAGTGGTGAGATAGATTGAGAACTGGCTGGCTGGCAGAGTTCAGAGGGTTGTCATCAGCAGCACAGAGTTGATTGGAGGCCTGTAACTAGCTGTGTTCCCCAGGGGTTGGTACTGGGTCAGATCTTGTTCAACATCTTCATCAACGACCTGGATGAAGGTATAGAGTTCACCCTTAGCAAGTCTATTGACAATACAAAGATGGGAGGAGTGTCTGGCATGCCTGAAGGCTGTGCTACTTTTCAGTGAGAACTGGACACACTGGAGAGTTGGGTAGGGAGGAACCTGGTTAGGTTCAACAAGAGCAAGTCTTGCACCTGGGGAGGAATAACTGCATGCATCAGTACAGGTTAGGGGATGACCTGCTGGAAAGGACCTCTGTGGAGAAGGACCTGGATATTCTCATAGACAACAGATTAAACACGAGCCAGCAGTGTGCCCTTGTGACGAAGAGGGCCAATGGTATCCTGGTGTGCAGTAACAACAGTGTGGCCAGCAGGTCAAGGGATCTTCCCCCTCTACTCAGCCCTGATGAGACCACATTTGGACTACTGTGCCCAGGTCTGGGCTCCCCAGTCCAAAAAAGACAGGGATCTCCTAGAAGGAATCTAGAAGAGGGTCAGAAAGATGATTAATGGCCTGAAACATCTCCTATATGAGGAAAGGCTGAGTAACCTGGGTCTGTTCAGCCTGAGGAAAAGAAGACAGAGGGGAGAACTAATTAATGTTTATAAATATCTTAAGAGAGATGAGTGGCAAATGGATGAGGCCAAGTTCTTTTTGGTGGTGCATAATGATAGAACA